TTTCTGTAAACTAAAGTCATTTACAAGTTGAGAAAACTGCCTTCTTTCTTTTTCCATATCAAAATCTTCCTTGGCAAATTCCCTCTGTTCCCTAGTCTGTTCAAGATTGATTTTTGCCAACTCAAGTGCCAATGCAGCTGATTCGCTCTCAGACAACCCTGTTGCACGAGACTGACGATTTTGCGCCGTTGATGTATCATTTTCCTCCAGCGAGAACATCGGGGCTTTATTCCTGGCTCCTGTAGAGGGAGAAGTCTGATGTGCTATCACCTCTTCCTGAAGTTTGTCGGTGATCAGTGAACGCAGTTGCGCAGCTGTGAGAGTGCATTCGTAATCAATGCCAGTGGAACGAGCAGTTTGCCAACAATGCTGTAGGGACAATTTTGGCAAGTTAAATAAAGTATGTGCCAACACCAGACGTCTGACTCATCTAGGTGGCATACCCCAATGGATAAGTTATTTGCTATGCACAGTACAATTGCAGAATACCCCAACGTAGCACGTTATTTGCGGAACACGCTTAGCTATGCACAGTATGACTGCAGAATAGGCACATATGCTTGCAAGGTAGATACACAAAACAAAGCTGACTGCAAATTCTTCGCACAAGATTGATCGTAGCGAAGCGAGCACACTGAACAAGCTAGTAGCAAACTGTTGAACCATCATACAATAGCAAGACTGACCATAGCAAGGCAATTGACACGCAAAGTTTGTAAAGCATTGGCAAAGCTAATGCAATGCCAGACAGCAAGCTACACAATGTTCCTACTTCCAGCGTCACCCTAGGCTCAACCCATGCTCTAAGTCCAGCTCCAGCTCTCGGACAGGCTACCCATAACTTACCACATTAATCAATTAAAATCTTTTCATACACCAGATAAAGTCCCAGTAATGACTCTGTCCTCTACCTCTGAGGATGACTCTAACTCTTTGCACTCTATTTCTGAAATTAATGTCAAACTTCCAAACTCTGTCCTCCTCAAGGACCCTAGCCCTTTAATGGTGGGGCTATCTGAAACTCCAGCAACAAGTTTAACTGCGCTTCTACAGTCATACCCTGATATTTTTTCAGATGTGCCGAAAAAATGTACATTAGGTTATCATGATGTAGATGTGGGAAACTCTAAACCTATTAAACTCTCCCCCTACAGAGCTAATCGTGAAAAGCAGAAGCTACTTCAGCAGGAGGTAGAATTTCTGTTAGAGCATGGGTTAGTGGAAGAGACATCTAGTCCATGAGTCCATGGGCTTCACCGTGCATCCTTATCAAAAAAGCTGATGGAGGTTTTCGTATGTGTACAGACTACCGTAAGGTGAATGAGGTCACAATCACAGATGCTTACCCTCTTCCTCGTCTAGATGACGTAATAGATTTTGTGGGTAAGGCTACTTTTGTGTCAAAGTTAGATCTCCTTAAAGGTTACTATCGGGTACCTTTGACAGATAAGGCGAAGGAAATCTCTGCCTTCGTAATTCCAGGAGGTCATTATCAATATAGAGTTACCCCCTTTGGAATGAAAAACTCCCCCTCTTCATTCCAGAAACTTATCCATCAGGCTATTAAAGAACTTGAAGGCATGGCAGCATACCTGGATGATATTATAGTGGTGTCTGATACTTGGGATCAACACCTAGTTAGACTAAGGCTCTCTTTGAGACCTTTCAGAGTTCCCATTTAACTGTTAATTTATCTAAGTCTTCCTTTGGCCAGGCCACTGTTACTTTCCTAGACTATGAAGTAGGTAGTGGCAAAGTTGCTCCTAAATTTGCTAAAGTTCTTGCCATTAAAGATTATCCAGTTCCACATGATAGGAAATCTCTTCAATGTTTCCTAGGCATGATAGGATTCTACAGAAGATTCTGTAAGAATTTTTCAAATATTGTAGCACCTCTTACCTCTCTTACCAGTCACAAAGTTCCCTTTAATTGGACCCCAGATTGTCAAGGTGCTTTTGATAAACCAAAAAGATTATTGTGTACTGCACCCATTCTTTTGTCTCCAGACTTCTCCAAACCTTTCTCATTACAGGTTGATGCTTGTGAGTCTGGGGTTGGGGCAGTACTGTTGCAAAACGGGAATGAGGAGTTGCAGCCTGTAGCCTTCTTCTCTGCCAAGTTCCAGCTACACCAGAGGGCTTACTCTACTCTTGAAAAAGAAGCCCTCGCGCTGGTACTGGGTTTTAGAGCACTTCGATGTTTACGTGGGCCAGACTTCGCAGGTGGTCACTGTCTATAGTGCCCACAACCCTCTAGTATATCTCCAAGCCATGAAGAACCACAATACGAGGCTCATGAGATGAAGTCTACGACTGCAACCCTATTCTGTCAGATTATTACACATTGCTTGCAAAGAAAATAAGTTGGCAGACTCTTTATCTCGAGTCTAACAATGTTACTCTATACATTATAATTATAATTGTATATTAGGTTAGGATATGTTAGGTTACTTGTGGTAACCCCTTTCAAGCTCTTTTTTTTTTTTTATCCCCTGGTGTGCGTTTGTTTTTTTAGTGAGGGAGTGCGGGATACCGTCCTCCCGCACTTTGGACCTACGCTAGCCCGACTGTCTGCTGTCTTGCTCTGAGTTTAGGGTTTGGCTTTTTGTCGAAAATAAAGCTGAGCTCTATCTAAGAGTTGGATGGCTGAGAGGAAATGCGGTCCCATTATTTGGTGCCATGGTGGCTCGGTTGCCACTCGGAGGTGGGAGCCTAATCCTGAGCCCTCTTGGGGTGGGGGTGTGGCATGCAAAGAGTACGTAACCTTTATTCGGCGCATGTACACACCCTCATTGAAAGGCTATCTCCCCCAACCAGTGAACCAGGGGCTAAGGGTTGATGATGGGGCCCCATCGTTCAATCAGTACCCAGGTTCCAGCCAATGAGAAGATGGTTTTGGCAGTCGCAGAGGTGATGTGGGTACCACTCACCTGTCTGCCCCTGTCATTCCCATTCTAGAGCTGGTTGAAGGACGGTCTGCTCTCTAGTGGCTTCTATTCTGCCTTGCTTACCGTGGAGTGCATTAATACCTATTGTTGTACATAGTGTATATAGTGTACATACTTCTGGTCTAAATTGGTGAAGGATAATATAAGTCAATAGTTTTTGTGCTGTGTTTATTTTGCTCCCTTTACACCCAGGATAACAGGCCTTTGGGACTCCTGGGTTGTAATACTCACCAACTGTCTGAATTTTGCCTTCATCTCCACCAATCTTGTATTTGTTGGATTTTGTGATATAATTTGAGAATGCATCTTCTGTTCAGTTTAAAATTTTTAACACTGGTGTGTTTACCTCAAAAGAAACTTCACATTAATTTTGAACTGTGAAAATTTTAATTTGTCATATTTATTAAACCAATTTTGTTCTGTAAAAGCGCTGGAGATTGACTCTTCTGCTTGGCTTCAAACCTTAAACACTTGTGTATCTAACTTAAAGAAATGTTTGGATAGATGCTTTGTTATGTAAGTAGCAGTTTGCCAGTTTTATTAAGGATATTGGATAAATTGGAAAACTGGTTTTTATGTGACAATTTGTGAATGCTTTATCCCATTTAATAATAATTGGCTTTAGATCTTCACTGCTGATATTTAAGAGCATTAGTGTGAGAAATTACATGTACAAAATTCAGTTACATACAGGTAATTTTGGTAAGATGCAACTAAGGCAATTATTACTCACCAATTTTTGTTGTACCTCTGAGGCAAGGGAGACTTAAGTCACATTAGGTTGCAGGAAAGTGACTCCTCCAACACCCACACTCCTTTAACCACACTCACACTAAGCTGCACGTGAAAGTTAGTTATTAACATTTAATAAAACCAGTAATTCTGGCACAATTATTTTTGTGTGGACTGTATCAATTGGGTTTGACTTGACAAAACATGTGTTAGGGTTTATTACTTTGAATCAACACTATAACATCATATGTGAACATATTAACTAATTTTTATATTCACACTTACCAATTTGGACCACTGGTGGAACACACCCTAATGCTACCTAGCCAGCTAGAAATACAAAGACGAACATAAAACTACTGTACAAAATAGGTGCAGTACTTAGTCAAGGCGTGATGCAGTGAAGTCACCGGTGCCCTATATTTTCCAATTTTTTCCACTTAATTCTCGTGGTTTCACATACATATTTTCTTCCCATGTTGCAGTGGAGGATGATGCTGCATTTTTAAATTGTCGTTCGAGGCTTCCCCACTCCAATTTAGCCCCAGTTATGATCACTTTTAATCAACAGCTATTGTCACCCGTCTTCACCAAATTTACATTATGGCATCCTCCGCTCCGCCTCCACGCTTCTGCTGGTTCTTTTTCTACTCGGAAATTAAATTTAGATCACCAGCAACACAGTTTACACATTGGAATTTATGCATTGTAAATTTAGGAAAATTGTATCAAATTTTCCAGAGTTAGAAATTTTTGCTTCACTGTGCTGTTTCTTTCATGTGTAGTGAGGTATGGAATGGGGGGGAGGGGAGTCTGAGATATATGGATAACTTTCTCAGATCATACAGTGATTGAAACACGTATAATATACATGTATATGTATTATATGCATGCATTCATGTAGTTTATGAGACTTCATTTTACAAGTTTACAAATGTTTCATCCTGAGAGGAGGTTCTCTGCACTATCCTGAATGTATGTTATAGTATGTATCAACATCCGGGGTCCCAGACTATTCAACATCTTACCAGAAGATATCAGGAACATGGCTGGAACAAGTGTAGAAACCTTCAAGAGGAAATTGGACATGTTTCTTAACCAGGTGCCAGATCAACCAGGCTGTGATGGATATGTGGGGCAATGGGCCTCCAGCAGCAACAGCCTGGTTGACCAGGCAAGCACCAGATGAGCCAGGCTCAGAGAGTAGAGAAACTCTCAAAACTCTTCAAAGGTATATTAAAGGTAGGAATTAGAATACCATATAGGAAGGTGGGAAAAATGAATTTGTTGTATTTGTTTTAAAATGAGTGTTTGCCATCAGGTCGGGTGAGGACTGGCCGAGGGAGCCAGGGTGGTGAGGGAAGCGCGCTGATGCGACGCACAGCCTCGCTCGACACCATCTACCTCAAAGGACAGTGGCCTAAGGACGAGCAATCCTTCACACATCTGTTGAATGTAGACAAGGCTTCACAGGTGAGTTTTCTTACATGCCTCTTACCACTCATTTTATGGAGATGGAAATTTTTAAATTGCCTGTAAGCTGTTTTAAATGAATTTAGGTAACCTACAGATACAACGCATTGTACATAAATGTGAAAATAAGATTTTGTTTGGATTTTTAACCCGGAGGGTTAGCAACCCAGGATAGCCCAAGAAAGTCAGTGTGTCATCGAGGACTGTGTCTTATTTCCTTTGGGGTCCTTCAGTCTTGTCCCCCAGGATGCAACCCACACCAAGCAACTAACACCCAGGTACCTACAGTGCTAGTCACTGCATTATGCCAGGTGAGCACACTGGCATAATGCCGTGACGAAAATCAAAGGCCTACCATACAGGGGGGTCTGTTTTCATCAGTGCATTATGCTGGGTAGCAGTCGTTAGCATGACTTCATGGCCTGCTGCCACACTCCACAGTGACTCCTCATTGCTCACGTGGCTGCTGTGGTGAGAGGAAGTGTTGCACTTTTGTCACTCATCTGCCCCATCTTTTGTCCAGTGTTCCCTTTGGTTTTGGGGCTGTACATGTTTGATTATAGGTAAAAGAAAGTCTTTAACACCTGAAACTATAGCTCAAATCACAGGGCTTCACAAAGGTGATGAAAGAAATAGTGGAGAATTTTGATGTGTGTGAGCATTCAGGTATGATCTGGGTGCAGCATTTCAAGACTGGTGGTGATGTCAAGTTACTGTCCGCCAAACCTCTGCCTGGCCCCTCGATGAAGGCATCTGTTCGTACTTTAACTATGTTAAAGGAGCAGTTAGAGAGTACACCTAAGATAACTGCTGGAGAATTGAAAAAAAATACCCACATCTCTTAGAGGTGTCTGTAAGAACTGTTATCAGACGTGTGTCAGAACCGGGCTAATGTAGGCTGGATTATGCAAAGAAATATCTTCACTGAAATCCTCAACAGTGGTCTGAAGTACTTTGGAGTGCTGAAGCAACCTTCACCATCACCTGTAACCTTGGGGGACATGTGTACCGGCCCAGAGTAGTGACCCGCTAAACCCACACTAAAACTGTGGGACCACCAAACACCCAGACTTGCTCATGGTTTGGGGTGTTTCGGTGCTCAGAGTGTTGGTGAACTCATTGTGCTTCCCAAAAACCAGTATATGAACCAGTAAAATTACCTGGAGTTATTGTGTGACAATTTACCTGAGGTGTTTGACAAGTGTGGGGCTATGGTTTTGATGCAGGACGGTGCACTGTGTCATACTGCCAAATCTGGAGTTCAATGGCTTAAGGACTGTGAAGTGAGGTTCTTTAATGACTAGCCAGGCAATTCCCCAGACCTAAACCCTTTATTGAGAACCTCTGGTCAGTAGTGAAACAAGGTTTTCTGGGCAAGGATATCAGTTCCATCCCATGCCTGGAGGCTGCTCTACATGTGGCATGGAATAATATACCTCCCCAAATCCTCAAGAATTTGTGTGTGTCTTCCTTCACGGCTGAGGGATGTGATTAAGCGTAAAGGAGGCAGCACCAAGTATTAAAACCTCAGTAAGTGTGCAAATAAATATATATATATATATACAGTGGACCCCCGCATAACGATGGCATCACATAGCGATTTTTCCGCATAACGCTTACTTTTATCGCAAAATTTTTGCCGCGCATACCGATTAAAAACCCGCTCACCGATTTTCGTCCGAGACGCGTCCAATGTGCCCTCACATGTGCCGCCCGTCCCATTGTTTACCAGCCAGCCTCCGCGGTAACATCCAAGCATACACTCGGAATATTTCGTATTATTACATTGTTTTCGGTGTGTTTCTGGAAAATAAGTGACCATGGGCCCCAAGAAAGCTTCTAGTGCCAACCCTGTGGTAAAAAGGGTGAGAATTAGTATGGAAATTAAGAAAGATTTTGAAGGGTTTGGGGCTAACCCTGAGAAGCCTATGCCAGTTGTGGAATCCATTGTGCCTACTTCAAAGATTAAGGAAATGTGTGCACAGTGGTTGAACTGCAAACCTTTATAGATGAAAATCACCCTGACACAGCTGTTGCAAGCCGTGCTGGTGACTATTTCAATGACAATGTTGTGGCCCATTTTAGACAAATCGTAAAGGAACGGGAGGTACAGAGCTCTATGGACAGATTTGTTGTGCGACAGAGGTCCAGTGACTTCAAGCTGGTCCTAGTGGCATTAAAAGAAGAAGGGAAGTAACCCCGGAAAAGGACTTGCTCCCTCAAGTCGTAATGGAAGGGGATTCCCCTTCTAAACAGTAAGAAGATAATGCTCTCCCCTCCTCCCATCCCATCAATCATCACAGATCTTCAATAAAAGTAAGTGTCATGTAATTGTGCATGCCTTTTTCAGTTTGTGTGTATTAAAATTAACATTTCATGTGGTAAAAAAAATTTTTTTTCATACTTTGGGCGTCTTGCACGGATTAATTTTATTTCCATTATTTCTTATGGGGAAAATTCATTCGCATAACGATTATTTCGCATAACAATTATCCCCCTTGCACGGATTAAAATCGTTAACCGGGGGTCCACTGTATATTATATATATAATATATATATATATATATATATATATATATATATATATATATATATGGATGTGAAGCTTGGGTGGGAAATGCAGCAGCGAGGAGACGGTTGGAGGCAGTGGAGATGTCCTGTCTAAGGGCAATGTTTTGGTGTAAATATTATGCAGAAAATTCGGAGTGTGGAAATTAGGAGAAGGTGTGGAGTTAATAAAAGCATTAGTCAGAGGGCAGAAGAGGGGTTGTTGAGGTGGTTTGGTCATTTTAGAGAGAATGGATCAAAGTAGAATGACATGGAAAGCATATAAATCTATAGGGGAAGGAAAGAGGGGTAGGGGTCGTCCTCGAAAGGGTTGGAAAGAGGGGGTAAAGGAGGTTTTGTGGGTGAGGGGCTTGGACTTCCAGCAAGCGTGCATGAGCGTGTTAGATAGGAGTGAATGGAGACGAATGATACTTGGGACCTGACGATCTGTTAGAGTGTGAGCAGGGTAATATTTTGTGAAGGGATTCAGGGAAACCGGTTATTTTCATATAGTCGGACTTGAGTCCTGGAAATGGGAAGTACAATGCCTGCACTTTAAAGGAGGGGTTTGGGATATTGGCAGTTTGGAGGGATATGTTGTGTATCTCTATACGTATATGCTTCTAAACTGTTGTATTCTGAGCACCTCTGCAAAAGCAGTGATAATGTGTGAGTGTGGTGAAAGTGTTGAATGATGATGAAAGTATTTTCTTTTTGGGGATTTTCTTTCTTTTTTTTTGGGTCACCCTGCTCGGTGGGAGACGACCGACTTGTTGAAAAAAAAAAAAAAAATATATATATTAACATGTATATATATATATATATATATATATTATATATATATATATATATATATATATATATATATATATATATATATATATATATATATATATACACACACACACACACACATATACAAAATATAGGGAGGTACCACCTCTAGAACTGTCATAGGGACCCTCATCCTCAGAGAAAAGAATAAACTTGCTTCAGGGAAGGTGTTTGAGAATTTTCTCCTACCACCCCCTATATTTCAGGTATGTTTTATTTAAAGACAAAATACATTGGCCAAGCATTCACAAAAATACATCAGAAAGTAATATATATATATATATATATATATATATATATTATATTCTTTCATGGTATATGTGTGTGTTTTGGTACGTGTGTGGGGGAGGGGCGGCATAATGCCGTGACTAGCACTGTATGTACTTAACTTGCTAGGTGAACAGTAGCAGCAGGTGTAAGGATACATGCCTAATGTTTCCACCTGGCCAGGGATTGACCCATGAACACTCATTGTATGTAAGGCAAGAGCGTTGCCTACTAGGCCATGAGACACCCTGCTTTATCCAATAGTTGAATAGGTCCAGCAGAGTTTTCTTACAAAACATTTTGCTTGGAATATAACTTTCAACAGAATGTGAGTTTCTCATAAATTAGCCAATATTTTTCCCCTTGATTTGACATATGGTAATATACATATACCCTGTATTACTGGTTGGTGAGCAAGGGCAGATGGAATGTAAGTAAACTTGCCCACATCTTTTGCCAGACTGAGAATCAAACCCAGGACCTTGTAGTTGTGAACTGAAGGGTGTCTTCAGTGAGTTACATATTATCTCTGGAGAGGAAGAAGCAAATCTTGGTGGAGGCCTACAAGACTGTTTCAGTGAGCCACTGAACATGTAATTATCTGCTTAATACCCTTGTCAGGATGTCATTTTTCTTGATGAAGAATATTCATACAAAACTAGGATGAGCCTATGGAGATCACACAAGGCATACCAAGTTCACAGAGGACTTAGGAATCATCTGGTCTCCGGTGCTTATGCTAGGCTGTGTTGTTAGCACCAGTAGCTTAATTAATCATACAAGCATCCACTTTACACAGGAGACAGTAAAGTAATTGTGAAAACTGAAGATCAGTAACCCTAACTTTGCACAGTATCAAAATCTTTGAATTAGTCCTAAGAAACAAGACTTCCAGTCACATCAGTTGCACAGTTCAGGGTAACACAGGTTTTAGAGAGGGGTCGCTCCTCCCTTTCACAATTGCTAGATCATTATGATGTGGCCCTTGATGCTCTGAAAATGAAGCTAAGTACTGATGTAGTGTACACTGATTCTACAAAAGTGTTCGACATGTGCAACCATGGTGTGAATGTGCACAAAATGCATGCAGAGAGAACTGGGAAAGTGGACAGATGGAAATGTAATTTCTTAATAAGTTAAACCCAAAGACTAGTAGTGAATAGTGCTGTCAGAGGCTGCCACAGTGAAAAGCTGTTCCTGAAGACACAGCACTCACCCCACTTCTGTTTCTTATTTTTATATCCAACATTGACAAGGACATTTTGGTGTCATTAGCTTTGCTAATAATGCCAGAATCTCAATGAGAATGATTTGTTGAAGGTACAGCAGATCTTCATGTGGGTATCAGTCAA